CAGGACTCTAAGTGGGCAGGACACTGAGAGGAATGAGTAGACAGAAAGGCAAGAGAGAAGAGGTGGATGAGAATGAGAGGGAGACAGATCAGTTGTTGGGAGGGTGTGATGTGGAGAGAGATGGCAGGCAGAAGGAAGCAGAGAAAATGAAACAACTCCCCTTCCTTCTTTGAGGACCAGTATCAGCAAGGTTCTGGGCAGCCCAGCTCAAGCCTCCCCAATTCCTCACCTCCTGTTAGCCCTTGCCTTTCTTCTGCCTTTTCTCTGCTTCCTAGATGATTAGGAACATGTTCTGTCACTAGTTACAGGGAACCAGAGGCAAAGGAGAGAGACTTAAGGCGAAGGGAGAGGAACTGAGATTTCTGTCCCTGGACCATGTAAGTCAACCAGGAGAGGGCTTCCGAGTCCCAGAGGGTACAAGATGCCAGTTCGCACCTCGGGTCTTCAAGCTCACGCCCCACTGGAAGCCCCAAGGTTTGTTTCTGAGTATACCCAGGAGAGGTTTGGAGACTGCCCAGGTACTTCAACAACCAAAAAGGGACTGAAATTTTTACCCACTCACCATCTTCCCTCTCCTGACCCTGCCAGGCTTCCTGCTTCCTGGGGAGCCTAAACCCCCAGGTAGTCCAGTTTCATTAAACAAGGCCAGAGAGAGTCATGTCAAGTCTTCGGTGAGGGTAGAGAGGCAGGGCTCTGAACAGTTGACCCCCAAAAGAGGCATGGGTGGACCTAGGGGAGGAGAGGAGAAGGGAAGTGAGGGGGTGAGGCTGGGTGCTTCTGTGGAGCTGTGTTTGTTTGGGGCCTTTTGGCTGTTCTTCCTGTTTGGCAGCCAGAGCTATGACAGCCAAAGACACCTCTCAGACTGCACCCAAGAGAGACTGCCAGGCCAGAAAGGAAGCAACAGGCAGGATCTACTTCCCAACCTCATCTAGAGCCCCAGGGAGCATGCCCTTCATGCCCCAAAGAGTCCAGGCTGCCCCCAAGGAAGGCTACCCAGTACATGAGCCCCAGGGCCAGCCCTGAAATGTCAGGCTTGAAGTCAGGGACTCAGCAATTCATTGCGACCTGTCTAAACTCAGGGGTTGATGGAGGTCAATGGAAGTCAGCAAGAAACAGCAGACTTAAGTTATGCAGAGGTGCTTTGGAGAATTGGGCATCCAGCTTAAAGAAAATTAGGAGCTGACAGTGAGCCCTGAACAGTAAGAAGAGAACTTTCTCTTCTATCCATTACCCTTTCCAAGGGTCACCAGGCTCAGAGGCTAACATAAGAGGAAGGGACTCATAGCTCCAACTGTCTAGGTTCAATCCATCACTGATAAATTGTATGACCTTCAACAGTAACTTAATCCCTCTAAATTCAGTTTCCTCCTCTAAATTGAGGCTGATGAGAATTAAAGCATCTACCTCAAATGGCATTTGTCATGAAGATTAAGGGAGCTAATTTGTGTAAAGCATTTGAGACATACCTGACAGACTGGCTGTTATTTTTGTCACCGGCAGGGCCCACACGCCGTAGCCTGCCCTCCCGTTCCCCACAGAGTACACAGGGGTAGCTGGGGTGGGGGAGAGCAGGACTCTGAGTTTGACCACATGCTATTCAGATATCAAGTCAGGGAGGCTGGGGTGGACCATGCGAGTGGGTGCCGAATGGGGGCAGCACATGTCAGAAGTGGAGACAGACACCACTGCAGTGACCTGATCATCCCAGAAGTACCTCACCAGCCCAGCCCCAGCATCAGAGCCTGAAATCTAGCCTCAGAATAGACTCATGGCCTCAGTACAGATTTCTGTGCCCTAGTGAGCCAGAGATGCCCACTATGTGGGGAAAGAAGTCTGACCTGGGAGGCAGGAGGCCTGGAATGGGCAATGCGACCCCAGCAGTGGCTCCCATCTCCAGCCTGTCTCTTCCTCCAGTCCCAGAGGGGGCTGAGATCTCTTCCATCCCTGATCACCTGAGACTCTCTCAGATACTCTCCTCTCTCTGCTGTGACTCCACCACCCAGAGTGGTGTGCCAGGTCCAGGGAGGGCACACAGAACCAACCAGCCAGGGCAAGAATATCCAGAGACATCATGCCAGGGAAGAAGGAAGAGGCGGGCCCAGAAGAGCCAACAGCTCCTTAGAAGTGGAAGAGTGGGACCTCTTGAACTTTGGGAAGGTGGGTGGAATTGCCCTGAGCTGGCTGAGCCTTCTGCTGCTCCGTCAGAGGCTCTGTGGGAACAAATTGGTGTCTTTCTATTTCTGTTTCATATTTAAAATAAAACAGAGAAAGGAGATGGAGAAGAGAGGAAAGAGGAATGGAAAGAAGGGAGAACAGAGAGGCAGGGGCACATCGTCATAACCTTTGAGGCAAGGCTGCATTTGGTCACAGCCATCTCCCCTGCCAGACTCAGCTCCCAGAAGGCAGGCACTGGTCTTAGCCATCATTTACTGAGGGCTTTGTGCTAGCTCTCCACTAAGTTCTCTGTGTACCTCACCTCCTGTGGGGTTGGTAGTTTCATCCCCATTTTACACATGAGGACAGAAGTCAAGTAACCTGCTCGAGGTCACACCAGTGATGAGTAGCCAAGCTGAGTCTTGAACCCATGTCTCACATGTCCAAAGCCAAGTGTTCTTTGCCTTAACTATCTATTTCCTCTCCAGCATCTGGGGAAATGAAGGTCCTCAATGACAAATTTGCCTCCCTGATTGGCAAAGTGATGCGCATAGTAGGTGTTCAATAAATAGTAGATCAAAGGAAGGAAGGAAGGAAGGAACAAAGGAACGAAGGAAGAAGAAAGGAAGAAGAGAAGATAAGCCAGGGAGACTCCTGGGCAGCTGGAAAATTGATAGTAAAGGTGCTGTTTTCCAATGCCAGGCTGGCACGGCACCCAGGCCGGCCGTCTTACACTCGGGAGCCCAGGGCCAGTGCTTGCGTCATCTTCTCCAGAAGTATGTGAGCCCAGATACGTCAGCCTTCAGGTATGCAATGAGGTCTGCGGTGAGACGTGAGAGCTCTCTCTCTCTCTCTCCTCTCCTTGCTTGTTGAATCGCCCTTCCTCTTAGCCTCCCTACTGCCAGCCAGCCAGCCAGCCCAGCCTTGCCTCCCTCCCTGGAGCCAGGACCAGCTGGGTTGGGGTGAGGGGAGCCTGTGAACAGCCCCCTCAGCAAGGCAAATCCTCAGCCCTGGGAGGAGATGTGTGCGTGGTGCCGGGGGAGGGGCGGGAGCGCCACATCATCCAACAGGTTGGTCGGGCTGAGAGGCGTCCCGCCCTCCTGGAGCTAATGAGCCCTGTACAACAGGTGTTTGCTCCTCAGTCTCCAGCCTGCCCTGCCTGTGACTGGAGCCAGCTGCCAACGCCACCCCAAAGCTCCCTCACTCATCCCTGTGCCCTGCCCTCACTGCTCCCGGGCCTAGGGGGCCGTGATGGCCTGCCGCTCCTGCGTTGTTGGCTTCAGCAGCCTTAGCAGCTGTGAAGTGACCCCTGCAGGCGGCCCCTGGCCTGGGACCTCAGGATGGGACAGCTCTGGGGCCCCCGGGCCGGGCTTCAGCTCCCGCAGCCTCACAGACTGCTGGTCGTCTGGCACCATCCCTAAGGTGACTGTGAACCCCAGCCTGCTGGTGCCCCTGGACCTCAAGGTGGATCCAGCCATCCAGCAGCAAAAGAACCAGGAAAAGGAGGAAATGAAGGTCCTCAATGACAAATTTGCCTCCCTGATTGGCAAGGTGAGCAGAAGTGGGAGGGGGGTTCCTGAAAACTAAGGACTGTCAAGCCTGGGCAGACGGCTGAGTTCTGTGTTTTCTGAGCATCATGCCCCACCCCTGCCCCCAGCCAATAGGGAGCCGGCTTGCTAACTCCAAAGACTAGCTCTACGCAGAGAAATGTGGAGGGAAGTCTCTGAGCCAACCCTGCATGGGGGGAGAAAGGGACCTCAGAACAGCTTCTGGGGGATATCTGTAATGTGCTGTGTGGCCTGGGGCCACCCTCCCCCAGGCATGGACTAGGGAGGAGCTCTGAGTGTGGCCAGGAGGATGCTTCCTCATAGGAATGGCTGATGGAGGAATGGTCTGCTGTCCTACTCCAAAGCAGATGAAGGGTAGGGATGTCCTCCCAAGGCTCCACCCTCCTGTCTGGGCCTCTGGTCCTGTTCAGCTTCTCAGAGTCAGGAGCACCAGGCAGAGCCAATGGGGAATGTGGGGCTTCAGGCAGGAAAAAGGCTTCAGAGTGGGGATGAAGCTATGGCATGTCAAAAAATAGGAATGCAGGGGATGGATGCTGTGAGTCAGAAACAGGCAGCCAGCCAGGCACCCACCTGAGTAGAGGGAGTGAGTCCCCTGTACCCTGACTTCCTAGACCCCACTCCCATGGCCAGTATGCTAGTCTGGGCACTCATGTCCACCTCTGCCTCAAGGCAAGGACTGCAAGAGCTTCAAGGAAGTCCTGCCCACCTCCCAAACCTGCTCCTCACTTACCTCCCTCAAGAGACCTCTCCTGACCAGTCCTCTCACCTCTGCTCCTTCCTGCCTTGCCCAAGAATAATAGTCACAATAGTAAGAGCTGCTCTTATTTACTTGCTATGTGCCGGGGACCATGCTGAGTGCTGACATATATATCTCTATTTCCCTCAACAACCTTAGGAAAGAAGTCATATTGTGCCTATTTTACAGATGAGGAAAACTCAACCTTCCCCTCTCCCCTACTTCCGCAGTAAACCAGAGCCCCATTCCTCTGCCCTGGCTCAGTCTTTGTCTGCACCTTGCTCTCCCTGCTTCTGTGTTCCTCTGCACTTTGCTAGTGTCCCAGGGAGGCCACCCAGAGGAGCAGAGGGAAGAAAGTAACACGTTTCAAGCATCTGCTTGTGGCTGGCTCCCTGCAGGAACTTTGCAGATGTGTGTCATTGAACCCACACAGCAACACCTCACAGTGGCTACTTCCCCTACTGTGCATGTGAGGAGACTGAATCCAGAGGTTAAGTGCTTTGCCCAAAGTCCCACAACCAGCAAATCTGCAGGCTGCATTTGAACTCAGATCTGTGAGACACAAAGCCAGGGTCTTTGAGATGGGAACCATTTCATCTCCCCATTGATGTGCCCAGACCAGCCTTCCTGCACCCATACCTGGAGTGCCTGAGTGAGGGTGTGGAGGGGAAGTGACAACTGGAGGACAACCATCCACTGAAGTGAAACATTCCCTCTCCCAGCCCTTGCCGGCTGCAGAGTTCTGTACTCCTGGGCTGTTGGCCCTAGGAGAAAAGCCCACTGCCCTGGGGAGGCAGGTCCCTGCAGAGCCACCTACTCTCCAAACCTGGGTTAATCCCTTAAAAGGAATGCTTCATGAGCTATGTAATTTGGCTCTGATATGTGGCTTTCCTCCCTGAACAACAGGGCTGATATTACTCCATGCCTCTGCCATGGGACAGGAGAGTGTGTAGGCACAGGGAGGGGGCCCCAGGTGTCAGGGTCCTGTGCCCAGGGGCCAGGGCTAGGCCCTCAAAGGTCTTTGGCAGAACCAGAGACTTCCAATCCTCAAGCCTGAGCCTCGAGATGGGTGCTCTTCAGGGTGGACGCAGGGAGCTAAAGGTGCCAGCCCCTTGAGGGCCCCGATTGCTGGGGCTCTGCCCAAGGAGACCCACCAACTCTATAGAAACAGTCTGTTAGCTCTTGTCCCTCCATGTCTCCTTCTAAAGGCCACCAGGACGCAAGTTAGAGCAGGCAGCCATTAGGAGTATGAAATCTGGAACCGCAATACTGGCTCCACCTCTGACCAGCTGTGTAATCTCAGACAAATTACTAAACCTCTCTGTGCCTTAGTACACATCAATGTAGTAGGCTTATCATAATCAAATAAGATGATTTTTTAAAAATCACTTACCATGTACCAGATATGTTCTGTTTGGTAAATTAAAAATACCATAAATGGGCCCAGCCCAGGATGCTCTTGAACCCAATTAGCCTCTTCTGGGCAGGAGCCTGAAAAGAGGGAGAGAGGGACCCTGCTGGACAGAAAGGTGGAGGAGCTTCCTGGGTACGGGTGCAGCACAGGGTCTGAAAAAGATATGTGGGCCCAGGAGTGAGATGCCATAACCAGTGCAGGGGTGGAGGCTCTAGGCAAAGAAAAAGGACAGGCAGAGGCGGTCCAGCTCCCTAGCTCCTTGTAGCCCTCTGAGGCATGGAGAGAGATCAGAGCACCAAGGAGGAGAAGGAGAATTCTTAAAGAGGAGGGTTGTTTGGAGAGATGACCGAGTGTGGGCGAGAGGCCCTGGAGCAGTGTTGGTTCTTCTACTCACAGGCTGTGTTTTCTGGGGCAAGCCACTTACCTTCTGTGTGCTTCACTTACCGTCTTGCTCCAAGGGTGGCCCTGAGCTCACGCCAGTGGAAGGACTGGTACATTGGCAGCCACGAGAGGAGGGGAGATGAGCAGAAGCAGGAGAGGAGGGCGGAGGGAGGCAGGGAGAGGACAGTGTTGACATCTAGCAGAGGCTGCTGGCTGGGTACTCTCACTTTTACATGCAGACAACAGAGGGGATGGAGGTGGGACAAGAGGAAGGACCGCCAGCACTCAGCTTGAGTAGGCTATCAGGAGGGGACCCAGGAAAGGTGGTGAAATGCCTGGAGATAGAGAGATGGGCACAATGTCTTCCCTTAGGCCTATGCGGCCTCTGGAAGCCACTAGAGCCATCCCCCTACCTGCACACAGGAAGGCACAAACTAGCCCTTCCTGACAAAGAACCTTAAGACTCCCTGGGCAAACGCCAACCTCTGGCTGAAAGCAGGGGATTTGACACCTCCCCCCGCACCTGAGGAATAGGACCTGAATGCTCCAGGGGCACCACCCAGTAAGCTCATCTGCCTGGACCGTGAGCCCGT